AGTTCATAACAACATAATGACAATAATAAAAGAAGTAACTCAGCGATAAAATGCTCAGCTCGTTCACAATTCCAGAAAATAGGTCTGCTTTTCAAGTAAATTAGTGCAAATCCAAATCTTTTACTGAAATCGCCAAAAATATGAGTAAGTTTGAAGATTGTAATTTTTCCAAAAAAATATTTCAACAGGTAAATGTTTGATTTTCAAATGGCATGAGGAAAATACATCTCTATGCCTATATGTCAACATGTGTGAGAAGTCAGAAATGACTTGATACCGTACAACATGAGGAAAATACATCTCTATGCATGTATGTCATGTGTGCATGTCAATGCAATGTATCTTAGAGATGATCTCATGTACTCACACTCTCAGAGTACTCAATCTCACTGTCTCACACTTTCCACTTAACATGCTCAATCACTCGACATGCTCAGTCACTCAGTACTTTATATGGCCAATCCAGCCCATGGAAGATCCATCCCGAATATATACATAGCAACTGCCAGTTAGTCACTCAGTACTATATAAGGCCAATCCAGCCCGGGGAAGATCCATCCCCAAATATAAATGCTTTGGCAATATCCATGCCCAGGGAAGATCCATCACTCAATATACATCAACCGCGCTCACTGGGGTTGTGTGCAGACTCCGGAGGGGCTCCTTCAGTCCAAGCTCTATATCAAGACAATCATGGCATAAATCAATGATACATGCTATGGCGTGCATCCGGATCCTATAAATATATAGCCATAAGACCCATTGCAGCGTGCAACCCGATACGCATACATACAGCCATAAGGCTCGTTGCGGCATGCAACCCGACCCACATATATACATATATCACTCACAGCTCGGGCCCTCGGCCTCACTCAGTCATCAATCTCTCCAGTCTCTCGGGATCACTATGCCATGAAACTAGCCCAAAACGATGATATGATGTGTCAATAAATAGCAACAGAAACTGAGATATGATATGAAATGAATGAACATGACTAAGTATGAAATTGCAATTTAAGCAAACAATTCAACAACAATATGACCTCGATAGGTCCCAACAGGATGCATGTAGCCTGGACATGGTTTCTAACATGGATCACAGCACAATAGCTCTAGTATGTCGACATTTCATGGATACAGAAAAGATCAGGTAACTACATTGTACCATAGGGATAACAGAGTAACAATTCACGTGGTGCATGCCCACACGCCCGTCACCTAGCATGTGCGTCACCTCAACACCAAACACATAACACGTAATTCGGGGTTTCATACCCTCAACATCAAGTTTAGAAGTGTTACTTACCTCGAATAAGCCAGATCCAATACCGAGCAAGCCAAACGATGCTCCACAAATGCCATCCCGCGTGTAACTACCTCCGAACGACTCAAAACTATCTAAAAGCAACTCAAATACATCAATTAATGCCTAAGGAACAATTCTAAATGATAAAGGTCGAATCCTTAATCAAAAGCCCAAAATGGACCAAAACGTCCACCCGGGCTCGCTCCTCGGAACCCGACAAAACTCATAAAATCCGGCAAAACATTCAATTATAAGTCCAACCATTCTAGTTTCACTCAAATCCGACTCCGAATCGATGTTCAAAACTCAAAAACTTACTCTACGAAACTTTAGTCTAAAACCCCCAAATTTTCTCTTTAGGAACCCTCAATCAAATTCCAAAAACAACTTTAGATTCCTGATATAAAATCAAAAATGAGTAGAGAACACTTACCCAAATTCATATGGTGAATATTGTTTCAAGAATCACCTCAATGCGAGCTCCATAACTCTAAAAATGCGAAAATGGCCGAAACCCCCGAAATAAAGTACTTTATAATTCTGCCCAGGCATTCCTCTAACGCGAACGCGGAAAATCCATCGTGTTCGCGATGAACAAAAATAATCTGCTCCCAAGCCTTCGCGATACACCCCGCGCGAACGCGATGACCACTGATGCCAAAGCTACGCGAACGCGACTCACAATTCACAATCGCGTTGACGAATTCTCCAGCTCCCTGCTACCAAATCTCAATCCTTCGTGACTGCAGTTCCTCATACACGAACGCGGGAAGTAACCCACATGACCCTACACAAACGAGGCCACCCAATCGCGACCACGATGAAGAAAATGCCCCAGCTCCAAACTTCCTCTACGCGATCGCGTACCCATCTTCGCGATCGCGTATCGGGGCACCAAAAACCAACAACAACCAGCAACGAAAACATGAAAAAAAATGATCTGAAATAAATTTAAAACATGCCCGAGCCGTTCGAGACCCCGTCCAAGTATACTAGCATGTCCCATAATATAACACGGACCTATCGAGGCCTCAAATCGCATATAACAACATCGAAACGATGAATTTCATCGCAAATCAAACTTGATGAACTTTAAACTTTTCAACCTCCAAAACACAAGCCGAAACATATAAAATCAATCCAGAATGAACCCAAATTTTACACACAAGTCCCAAATGACATAACTAAGCTATTCAAATACCCGAAACCACAATCCGAATCCAATATCATCAAAGTCAACTTCTGGTCAAACTTACGAACTTTCCAAACCTTCAAATTTCCCGCTTTCGCAAATTTGTGTCGAAACCTTCTATAAATATCTGAATGCAAACTCGAGCATATGCCCGAGTCCAAAATCACCATCCGGAACTACCAGAACCATCAAAACTCCAATCTCAGGACAAATGCCAAAAAGTCAAACTTGGTAAAACCTTCCAACTTAAAGCTTAAGGCATGAAATTCATTCTTCCAAATCGATTCCGAATAACCTAAAAACCAAAAATAACGATTCACATAAGTTATAATACATCATACAGAGCTACTCATGCCTGTAAACTACCGAGCAAAGTGCTAATGCTCAAAACGACCGGTCAGATCGTTATAATTTCTTAGACTTGAGATTACCTCCAGTGTAGCCTGCTCCCTTGTTACTGTACAAAGCAGCTCCTTCCAAATGCTCAGAGGTTTGAAAAATTTGAGTAAGGTTGGCAAAGCTCCTTTGGATCTCTTGATCAATAATCCAGGAGTATCCCTTGTTCAAGAAAGGAGTTGGATGTATCATCATGATCTGATTTCTGGCTGAGTGCAGGTTTCATTCAATCTAGTTAAGAACTGAAGGAGCCTTTGATATTCAAAGTGCTCTAAATACTTCTTAGATTCTGGACATGGACACCCTGGACATGGCATATTTTCATCAAGCTCATCCCATAAGTCTCTAAGTTTAGAGAAATAATCAGCAACTGCCATAGTTTCCTGACTTATAGCCCGTTTGGCCAAGCTGCAAAAATCAGCTTATTTTGACAAGAGATTTTTTTCAAAAGTGCTTTTCTCAAAAGTACTTTTGGTGAGAAGCAGTTTGTGTTTGGCTAATTAGTTTGAAAAGCACTTCTGAGCAGCAATTAGTGTTTGGCCAAGTTGTAAAAAACTGCTTCTAAGTGTATTTTTCTCAAAAGTGCTTCTCAAAAAAGTGCTTTTGAAGAGAATCTATTTTTTTCTGCTTCTCCAAAACTGCTTCTGCTTCTCCTCAAAAGCACTTTTTTTCCTTCCAAAAGCTTGGCCAAACACCTCAATTTTTGGCCAAAAGTGCTTTTGGCAAAAAAAAGTACTTTTGGCCAAAAAGAAGCTTGGCCAAACAGGCTATTAGTGAGTGGATTTCCTTGTGAAGAAACTGCACCCTCGAGCCATTCACCTTATCAAACCTCTATCTCAAATACTCCCAGATCTTATATGCACTCGATGCATACAACACACTACTCAGTAAACCAGGTCTAGCCGCATTCATAATCCATGAAAGGACAATATCATACACCTTTTCCCATAGATCATGTAATTATGGTGCAAATCTAGACTTAGGATATTGACCATCTACAAACCCTAGCTTGCTTTTCGCTAGCAGTCCAATTTGCGTAGCACGACTCCACAATTCATAGTTTTCAGATCCAGTTAAATGAAGAGAGATCAGAGAACTACATGGTGTGTCGATTGGTTGCAGGTATAAGGGGTGATTGTGGTCGATTGTGGGGAAGAAACTTCCTCCAGTTGTAGCATTCACTAGATTTGAGGTTTCAACAGCATTAGCAAGAGTAGTACCATTTATTTCATCTTCAATCGCCATTTCTAGCTAGATAAGGAGAGAAACAACAGATAACCCAAGCCCTAGCTTCAATTGAGTTCCATCACGAGAATTTACCTACTTAGTTGAGTGAATCAGAGAAGCTAATGAAGACAGCAGAGCTACCGAGTGCCAGCAATCGGTATCGTAGGCTCTGATACCACGATAACTTACATGAAAATGTAGTTTGCATCTTGAGAGAAGATAAAGAAGAGGATCAAATCATAGAAGATGCAAAAATGCTCTGTATTTGTGGAAAAGGAATTGTACTCTAACTGCTACATGTACATTGTTTTTATAGCCGTAACTAACTAGCTAACCAACTACCTAACTATTACACATACACCTCTAATAGCTTAACTAACTTAAGATGAGCTGGATCCTAGCTGGAATATTTCAACAATAACTTGAACTTTACTTTCACACGCTCATTGTTCAACAGATGTATTTCACGCGATGGGGGTTGACAGGGCCGGATGTTAGTTGATCGTCTTTTGTGAATGGCTAAAGTTTCTAGCTGAAAATGGCTCAGTTGAATTGTCTAACTTGTCGTTAGGACAACGTAAATGGTCCGTTTATGCATTTCACCTATTTTATTGGATTTCAAGGGGTCATGCCATTCATGAACGAACTACTTATACATGTGATCGATAATATATGGAATTGTATAACCATCTAATAGATTGACAATTTGTTGTTTGAACGATTACTTTAGTGAAGTTGCTGATCATATCAATTACCAAACCTTAGACATTCTAAAAATTTACTTGCTAAAAATTTGTGGAACTTGCGATTCCCTGTTGGAGTTTTTTCTTTCAAATGATATACGTATTATCTTAATTCTACTATCCAACAACTGACTCATAAAAAACACATACGACCGATTTAGGTAAACTTTACACTTCTTTATTTATCATATGCCCACAAACAAGAAACGTCTGCAGGAGCACGAAATACATGTTAAACCAGCTATTTCGTCGACATTTATTTTATCCTTATTTTCTAAATGAAATTTTAAGTATATCATGTTGTACTAGTACAATAGACAATAACGTCGATAACAACTAGATATAGAGAATCATTTCACTGTTGCTTTTCAATACCAAAGGAATGGTATGTTGAGTTGATAGAACGTTTGTTTTCTGGTTGAGTTGGTCTAGCGTTGGTTTCAAATCCCTGTGAGAAAACAAAGAAGAAAGTTAATATCACACTGCCTTTGAATTTTTATATATACAAGTAGATTCTTGAGTTTTTTAGCTGAAGAACCACCCTTTAAAAATACAAATTGAAATTAAAATTAAAACTATATAGAGTTTTTGGATCAGACAATTAAGTCTTTCATGAATTTTTTTTAAATAAGAGTATAAGTGATCGATAATATAATTAGAAAACAAAATATTTTTGGTAAATGTTTTAGGGTAGCAATTACTCACGTCTTGAACAGCTTCATGGAGTAGATTTATTTGTCTTCTGGTTACAGTTTTTACCTGGGAAATTGAAAAAGTAAAATTATATAGTATTATTTTTAAAATATATGTAGTTACATTCAATTTAATAAGGAGAAGGGCAACACTTGATTACCTTTCTATCAATTGTCCAGACAACACCTTCGGTGCAAGGAGGTGTTGTAAGAGAGCCAATATACCTGAAATAATTTTTGCCATCCAATTTTATTTGATTTGGATCAATAGTTCCAATGGCTCTCTCTTTACCATTTTTATCAGCAGGAACTTTCAATTCATTCTCTATCTGTAATCAGAAGTAAAGCAATATTAAGAATATGAAACATAAGGCAAGTGACCTTCTACAACAAATTAAATTATTTTATATATTAAATTAGTAAAATATTATCCTTGGATATATGTGTTACATAAAATATAATTCTTGTTCACCATAGATAAGAAGGGATCAGGCAATAATCCGATCTCGTAGAGGATTCCAATAACAGCAAACTGTCCATTATTGCTTTCATGTACCAAATGAGCTTCCAAATTAAACCTGCATTTGTTAATATAAATGAACTCGTCATGCAAATAAGATTTTTTTTTTTTTTTAAAAAAAAAACTTAGAATATATGAATAAGCAATTAGGGCCTGCAAGAAAGTACCTTTCTCCATTAACAGTGTGTTCAGAAGGTGTGTGCCAATGCAATTGTTTGAGTTGATATTGAGTTTCATTTATCTTCAAGTATCCTCCATCAGCCAATCTCAACTGCATTTGTAATTATAAAATGGTTTAATACATATCATGAGCAGTGTAGTCTTCACAATATCCAATCATTAGTAGTCTTTTTTCTTCTTACCATTATATCATGGCCTCTGTTCAAGAGGGTGGCATTCGATGGTTTGTAGTCCTTTTGAAGTATTCCCAAGTTTGAAACTACTTCAGCCCTTAAGTCCAAAAGATCAATAGGAGACTGCAATTTGCCACTACAGTCTTTCCAATCTGGACGAATATTGCTCCAATTAGCTGGTCCATTCTCCCTTTTTTCATCGTAACTAAATTCCCTCTCATCATCTACAATTGCCCAAACATAAAGAAAGTTTTAACTCTGTACACTAACACAATAAATAATTTTTGCACTAGCTGAGTGGTCATCGATCTAAAAAATAATAACTACAAGTAACTGTTTATAAAAAGTGTGCATAAGTAGCCTAATAACATAAGATAGGTTAACTGGTTAAGTATATTTATAGTGCAAAAATTATTACACTCTCAATTTGTATAAGTTAATTCCAAAATAAAAGGCCAGGCATGCGCTAAACTAAAAAAAAAAGAAGATTAGGAAAGACACAGGAGATGCTATTTCTAATGATCTTAACATACCAACTTCTCCAGATCTTGCAAGAAATACACTTGAAAGGAAAAGAAACGAAATGAACAACATTTTGGCTATTGCTGCCATCCTCATTGTATCTTCAACTATTGAAATGTTTTGTAAGTTAATTAGGTGAGCAAACTCTGAGAACTCCTCGATCAATTTATAGGGAGAGTAAGGTAATGTGAAGCTGACAAAAAAGAAGCTGATTTTGACAAGGGGTGGCAAATGAGTTGCTTGGACTGTATTTGGGCTAGTCAACACGGGCTGATTAATTAAATGGGTCATTGCCCAACCCTTTCCAAAGTTCACTTGGGTTAAGATGAGCTGGGTCAAGATTAGCTAAACAATAGGTTGTAACCCAACCCGCCCAAATTGGCCCAAATTATTGTAATATCCTCAACTTTCTTATGTTTTGAAATAACTACTAATTCATGCCTAATGATTTCTTTCCTCAATGTAGATTTATAACTTTATTTGATAGTTCTTTAATTTATCTTGTAATACTAACAAAGATCAGAATAATAAAAAATAACAAAATTAGAACTTTCCACCCAGCCCGAACGACCTCCAACCCACCTCCCACCGCCCCAACCCCACCCCCACCCTAAATAGAAATATTATTTAGAGTACTTTCTTTTCATGTTGTAGATGGAGTATTTTTTTTTCGTTTCAACAAAATGAATATTTTCTTTTTACGATGAAGAAAAGTATTTTCTTTCATCTCAACAAAATAAGTACTTTCTTTTCATGATGTAAAGAATTTATTTTCTGTTCACAAAATGAGTACTTCCTTTTCATGTTGTAGAAAAAATATTTTCTTTTATTTCAACAAAAAGAGTAATTTCATTTCATGTTGTTGAAATAGTATTTTCTTTCACTTCAATAAAATGAACACTTTCTTTTCATGTTGTAGAAAGAGTACTTTTGTTTTGTTTCAACAAAAAAAAGAATATTTTATTTTCAGTTATGAAGTTCAAATTCCTTTTTTTTTTTGGTGAAACGTAAAGCTTTATTTATCACCAGTACCCAATAAAAAACTGTACAAGAATCCTAGCCAGGCATGCCAGTATCCCTAAATGTTTATCCTGTCTTTACTCACTTCTCTTTTCCTTACTCTGTCTTTCTACTCTATTGTTGCCATTGCTTCCTATACAATTGATCTATCCACTCCCTCTCATTCCTGCTACATTTCCTGTTTAAAAAATATACTACTCTAATCTTGCATTCTTATCGGACTTGTGCACTGACTACACCAGGTGTAGGGACTCGATGGTTCCATAGAGCTTCATTCCTTGCCCACCATATTCTGTATATCAACGCTGCTATAATTGCTTTAATAAGCACCCTGCGCTTCTTCCCTTTGATCCATCTTATTGATCTACGCTATATCTCCATGGGATCATTTTTTGTTATACCTCTCTGCACCTATTTTAATAGCAGTTGTAGGCATGCCGCAAAGAATTTGCAATCATAAAACAAATGTTCTATTGTGTCTGGTTGGCTTCCATAAATCAGGCACCAGTTGTCTTTGCTTATCTTCAGCCTTAACAATCTATCCTTCGTAAGTAGCTTTTTGTGCAAGGCAAGCCAACTAATGAATCAATGCTTAAGCACATTCATCCTACACCATACTCCTCGATAGCATGATGTTTCTTCTGCATTTTCCTTGCTCGATTGGTATCCACTCCTCAATGAGTATTTTCCATCATGTTTCAGCTATCCATTATTCATAAAACCTCCAGCAAACTTGTCTCTGATGGAGCATATTTTCTTCCAGTACCAGCAGCTATATGTGGGGGGGGGGGGGGGGGGGGGGGATATATATTGCCATCATGGTTGATCCTTTATATACAGATGATTGACATATTTAACCCACAAATTATCTTCCTTGTTGGCTATGTTCCAAACGTACTTAACCATTGCTGCTTTATTCCATATGATATAGAGTTATCCTTAATCCTCCTTGCCTCCTTTGTCGACACACCATGTCTCAGGCCACTAATGACATTTTGGTAGAGTTCCCTTTTCCCTCCCAGAAAAAACTCCTACATATAGCTGTTATATTTCTCAGCACCTTCTTAGGGAGAATGAATATAGAAGCATAATAGGTATGTACTTGCATTAGAACAGCATTCACCAGTAACACCCTACTAGCATAGGATAGGTATTTAGTACCCCATGTTCTTGTTTTTATTGCTAGTTTCTCCACTAGCATTCAACAGTCTGTGGCTGATAGCTTCTTAGAAGAGATTGGCACACCAAGATATCTAAAAGGCAGTGTTCCTTGCTGATACCCTGTTAGCTCACATATATGCTGGAGGCACTGTGTCCCCATATTTGCACGGTAGATATTCGACTTGGCTGCATTTGTGTTCAATCCAGATGCTTGTGAGAATGTTTTGACTGAGGATCAGTTTCACTGACTTCCATTCACCTTTGCAAAGAACTTAACATCATCTGCAAAACACAGATGGCTCGGCATTATCCCTCTACATTTTGTGTGATATTGGAATCCTTTTTGATTAGTTATCCACTTCGTAATTCTAGATAGATATTCCATACAAATCAAAAATAGTAGAGGGCATAATGGATCTCACTGTCTAAGGCCATGCCTGCCTTTAATGCTACCAAATACCCCTCCATTCATAGCTATAGTGTACTAAGTGGATGTGATATAAGCCATAATCCACCTAATGAACCTTTGAGGGAAATTAAGGTCACGCAACATCTCTTCAACAAATCCCTACTCCACAGTGGCATATGCCTTACGAAGACCAACTTTTACTAAGCAACTCCTAGTTGTATTCTTCCTTTTGTATAATCTCACCAGGTCTTGACAGAATAAAATATTGCGTACAACACTTCTACCAGCAATAAAAGCACTTTGGTTGTCAGAAATTATCTCAGGAAGAACCTTCTTTAATATATTGCATAACATCTTCGATATTACTTTGTAAATTGTATTGCAACAAGTAATTGGCCTATAGTCACCCACTAAATCAGCATGTGTACTCTTGGGAACTAGTGTTATCATTATGTTGTTTATTATTTTGAGCAGTCTGCATGTTCTAAAGAATTCCATAACCCCATTTATCACATTATTACCCACAATGTCCCAGCTATCCTTGCAGAATTAGCTACAAACCCATTTGGGCCTAGGGCCTTGTTCCCTGAGATAGCCCACAATGCTTGCTTCACTTCTGCAGCTGTGAATTCTGCCTCTAACCCATTCCTTTGCTCCTCATTAACTGTAGGACCTTGCTTAACCAAGTAGCCATTTACATGAGCCATATCTTCCTGGTTCCTGCCTAGTAGGTCACTATAAAACTCTATGAATGCTTCAGGTATCTTCATCGGGTCACTTATATCCTCCCCATGCATATTCTTGATATGAAATATTCTATTGCTATTCCTCCTAGTTTTCAGCATTCCATGATAGAACTTTGTATTTTGATCCCGTAGTGTGAGCCATTGAACCTTAACCCTTTGTTGCAAGAAAAGGTCCCTGGCTTTCTTCCATTTACTGCATTCCTCAATTAATCTTAGCTCTATATTAATAAGTGCTTCATTATGAGCATCGTTCTGAATTCTATTCTGACAATTCTGGAGTAATTCTAATGCTTCACCTGCTCTTTTTTCAACATTACTGAATTTGTCTTTATTGATTCCTCGGAGACTACTCTTGATCTTATGCATTTTCCCCATTAACCGATACATATGTGTGCCCTATTTACTAGTCTTCCACCCTTCCTTTATACTTGCTTTGAAGTCAGTAGCCATACTTTACATGTTGAAGTATTTGAATCTTTTGCTGCCCTTTTGGACTCCACCCTCCCAGCTAATAATACCAGGGGAATGATCATATAGCCCTAGGCTTATATAGTGAACCTCAGAGGTAGGCTGCCTTGCCAACCAATCATAGTTGACTAGTATTCTATCAATTCTACTCATGACTCTACTGTCACCTGTTTGTTCATTACTCCATGTATAGTATGCCCTTAAGGATCTCCGATCTTGCATAGAGCATTCCTCCACACACTTTCTGAATTCCTTGATCTCTGCCATGGTAACTGGGTTCCCCAATATGTCCTCTCTATTTAAAATACAATTGAAGTCTCCCTTTAGTGCCCATGGACATTTCGCCAATTAATGTATGCCCTTGATTCTAACCAAAGCTGTCTTCTCATACTCTAATCATTGAATCCACATATCATTGTGATGTTAAATTGCCTCCTTGTTCCTCTATGCTGAACTATGCAGCATACTAGTTGTTTAGTAACATTTTGCTATATTAACATCATAAACCAACGGTTTCCAAACAATCCATATTCTTCCACCTGGGTGTTGTGCCAGGTTTGTAGTAAATGACCATCTATTGCAAAGATTAAGAGCAGCCTGCTGTGCTTTGCCCCTCCTAATATTAGTTTCCAGGAGACAGATAAACCAACTTTTTGGTTGTTTATAAGTATATTCATTTCCTTCTTCTTATGTGGTTTATTCAATCCCCTGGCATTCCAAAATCCAATTCAATCCATTTAGGATGGAGTTGTCCCCACCCTTCCCTTTTCCTTGAGTCATCTTATCTCTTTTTCCTATTTGACTCATATCCCCTGCCATAGTTCCCCTCTTTGTAACATCATCTTCTTGTTTGTGATCTCCGAAGGTTGCAAAGGAGTTCACCGTTCTAATAGTGGTACCCTTCTGTACTACTTCCCCTGCTTTCCCAAGCCCTGGCTTGCTGACCTGGTATCTCTCACGCATGACACCAGAGGTTGTTGCCTTTTCCTGGTTATCCCCTTGTCCTGTATTTCCATTGTTTCTTTGTATGCCTACTCGTTGTCTTTGGCCCTGCCATCCTCCCTCTGTGGAGCTTCAATCTGTTTTTCCCTTGTTTTTGCATCACTGTTTCATTTGTGTCTTGGCTTCCTTGCTGACTTACTTGCTTTTCCTTTCTTCCTTTAGGAACTTCCTGCATTCTTTCATTTCATGACTAAAATTTTTGCATTTCCCACATAGTATAGGTTTCCATTCATAGAAAACCCCCTATTCAACAATTCTTCCTCGTTCATCTTCAAACATAATGGAGTTTGGGTATTTTTGATGTGGTTTGACCTCAACTAATACACGAGCATGTTAGTCTCTCCT